CACAAATTTTTATATGTGTTATACTATAATCAGAAAAAATAAGAAATGGTTATGTAAAAGTTTTTATTCATGATACTCTGTGAGAACAAAAACCTTCGCTAAAGAATTATGATTATTCAGACTCTGAAACAAAAACTTTTAGACTGAAATGTTGAAAAATTCAATGATTAAAAAAAAATTGCATTTATTTTTTTTAAATCTTTTATTCAAAAATTATACTTTACAATTATTTAATTAATTATATTTAAATTAAATTTTCATTTACATTTCTCTTCATTTACTACTGCTTTAACACATTTTTTTAAAAAAGTTTTCTTTATTACTATGCTTTTTCCTTCTTGAAGGGGCAGATATGTAAGACAATGAAAAAATATGTAAAAGATAAATTATAATTTAATTGAGCATTAGCCCTTTGATGTTGAATTTTAATTTGGTATATCTCTTCTGTATTCTAAAAATAGTAATCTTTCTCTGAACTGCATCATTTCATGACTAATCCATGTCATATGATTCTTGTATAATACTGGTGATGTAAATAAAACTAAAACTCAAACAGCCAATAATAATTTTACAGCAGTATTAATTATCTAATCAAATGCACCAAGAAACAAAACTAACTCATTTTGAATTCCGATTTCCTCCTGAACACAAGAGCTACTTGCTTCCTATGCTTCAACCTAGCTGGACTGCTCCCTACTGCTCTCTTTTTACTGCAAAGCTATTGAAAAAATGTAAACATTTTGAAACAGGCACAAGTAGTGAGCCAAGTTATTTGTGGCCACAACATGTTTACTGGAGTAAAGAGGAATATTTAATCTGTCTCCACAAGTTTCCTTTTCATTATGAAGTAACATTTCAGCATTCTACGCTATCAACTTATCCTACATTACAGCTAAGCTAAGTCTGCTTCATTACATATATAATACATAGTATATGTGTGCCTGTGTGTGTATGTATATAAATATACGAACACACGTGCAATGCATTTCACACAGATTAGAATAAATTTAACAAATTTAAAAAGTCTACATATTTGCAAACTGATTACTTTTAAAACAGAAAAAAATCCACAAAGCATACATTATAACAACTGTTTTTTTGTAATAATTTCTTTACACTGAACTATTTACCTCAAATTTTAATATGTATACTTATATCAGGAAATGAATACTAAATCCATCAAAAATATTCAAAGAATTAAAAAAAATATATCTATAGAAATGTTCAATATATGAATTTTTATATATAGAAATGTTCAAAATAAGGACTGAAAGATGAAACCACACCAAAAAATACTTTTTTGCATCGGAGAGAAAAGTACAGGTTGTCACACTCAAAAGGCATCCCGGGAAAACTGCAATAAAAATCTTATAATAAGAGGAAATGAAACCAAATTTTTATATGGCATACCTTTATGTTTGAGAAATGAAAATACATTTATTACAAGAGGTACTGGAAGTAAACTACTCCTATCTGTATACATAGTTCAATGCAGTACTACAAATTCGTGTAAGTTGCTGCCAGAGCATTGCATCCTATTCCCTGGATTTAATGGCGGATGTTTTAACATAACTCATCAATGGTGTGAAATTTGTGCTTGTAACGTGACCCACAGAAAAAAGTCAAAGGGGTTCAAGTCTGGTGACTTAAGGGGCCATTATCCTTTGAAAATCATTCTCTCAGTGAAAAATGATTCCACTGCAGCCAAACTTGTTATTCATGTGTGGCAAGTTGCCCCATCTTGCTGTTATCAGCCAAATATCAGTTCCTCACCATCCAACTGATTCACAAATTCATGAAACAGTACCTGGTACATTGAACTGGTAACAGTAAGGGTAAAAAAAAAAATCGGCTGAATGGTGCATCACTGTGACAATGCACAGAACACGCCCATCTTCTGTGAATGAAGATGTTCCTTGAGGACTGCATGCTGGTTGTCACTATCCTGACAAGTGGACCTATGTTTCATCACTGTACAACATGAACTGCAATATTCCTGTACTTTCTGCAACACTGTGAAGAGACTTTGTGGGAATGGTCAACAATTGTCTTTATATCAAGCACATTTTCTTCAGATAACTGAGGATGTCCCCCCCTATGCTAATCTAATAATATTCTCTTTGTCTCCAGTTTCTTCAATAAACCTTGAATACAGCATTTAAATGATTTACATAAGCCACCAAAATGTTCCAAAAATAGTCATTGACTTGGCTTAACAACTTATCCAGCACTGTTTCAAACGAAACACATGCTCTTCCACAGAATATTGATACATCATCAGAATCAAACAACAACAGAAGAAACAAGTTGCACAGAACACTATGAGCTAGTAAGCTATGGTACACTGAGAAACAAGACCTTGCACACATGATTTATTTCTAAAATTTGTATTTTTAAATATTTTTTATAAATTTTTCAAGAAACATTTTGTATTATAACCTATATTTGTATGATAACCTATAACATTTTTGACATCGTCTTAAAGTAGATGTATACCTGCAAAAATATTAAGAATTTTTTTATTCAAAATTTTTTATGATAAGATATACACAAATTTACATATTGGAGCATTTTCAAATTTGGCATCTTTTTTTTTTTTTTTTTTTTTTTTAGCAACATTAACAAAAAACGATAATACGCACTTTCTTAAAATTATCTGACAGAGTAAACCAAGGATGTCAAACTCAAGGCCCGCGGGCCGCATGCGGCCCACAACAAATATTTTTGCGGCCCGGCCAATATATCGGCAAATAAAATATATAATAATAAAATACATATCGGCGAAGAAAAAAAAAAAAATTAAATGTTTACTGCTAAGTAATTAACGATAATTTATTCAGTGTTGTTAGATTACTCACAGCGAGCTGACACACACACTACTTAAATTACAAATGCGTGTGAGTAGCTTGCGTTCAGCTACCTTCGGCTTTTGGGGGACACGTGCATCAGAAACTTGTACGCATCCCCGATAGCCGAATGAGGCGGAACTCATGGTCTCAGTTTTCCAATCATAGTTTTGTACGATATATTGGTGCATGCATGTGCATGCACTTTGCTTTATTATTAATTATTACTTAATTCATATTGTTACGGATTTCATAGTTATTTATTTAGTTAGTTTTTTTTATTTAGAATTGTAATTAGATACATCAAGAAGTTCTATGCACGAAAGTAATAAACATGGAGAATGTTTTGTCACATATAAAAAAGTTAAATATTATAAGATCTCAAGGTTTAAATCAGCGTCAATTCACTGCTTTCTTAAGTGAGTTAGGTAGTGAATATTCGGGTTTGTCCTACTATACCGAGGTACGTTGGTTATCTTGCTCCAAGATTCTCAAACAATTCTGGGATTTGAAAGAAGAAATATGTCAGTTTTTAAAAACTGAAAAATCAAGACATAAGTTTGTTTTACGATCCAATATGGATACAAGATTTATTTTTCTTGGTTGATATAACCAAATACTTAACTGATTTAAATTTATCGTTACAAGGAAAAGATCATATCATTACGAACATGTTTGACATAATTAAAGCATTCAAATGTCAACTAGTTCTTTGGGAAAAACAACTTAAAAATGAAGATTTGATGCACTTCCCGAGGTGCAGCATGAACAAATCAAGTTTAGATGATACTTGTTCGTATCAAAAATACACAGAAAAAATTGCAAATTTAACAACTGAATTTGAAACGAGGTTTAATGATTTTAGTTTCCTCGAAGACAAATTTTTTTTGTTTTCTTCGATTTTCTCAATAAGTATTGACTCAGTACACAGCCATATGCAAATGGAGGTGATCAAGATTCAATGCAACTCAAATTTGAAAGCAAAATTCATTGAAGTGGGCGTACCTAAATTTTACAAATATTTACCAGCCAGGTTTGAAAATACTCGAAAAATTCGCATATGAAATTATTTCCATGTTTGGTAGCACTTATCGGTGCGAGCAGTTATTTTCAGTCATGAAAGATAATAAGTCTCCTATTAGAAACAGTATTAATGATGCTCACCTTGGGTCAGCGTTGAAAGTTATCACTGCAAACAAAATTTCTCTTGAAATAGCAAAGATAATAGCAGAGAAGAGATGTCAAGTATCAGGACGTAAACATTAAATTTTTCTTGTTCTTTTCTATATAAATATATGTATATGTTTGTTATTGTATTATTCGAAATAAATCTACGTTTCTATGAAAATTGATTTTTTTTTTTTTTTTTTTTTTTTTTTTTTTTTGCCACCCGCCTAAAGTTAAACCTTTTCTGTTTGGCCCAAGTGTACCCATGAGTTTGACATCCCTGGCATAAACAATGACTTTCTGCACGTCTACAGTGAAAAAAAAGAAAATGAAAATAAGTTGCTATAGATTAAGAAGTTCGCCAAGTAAATTATTTTTGGCGAAAACTGAAAAACTGTGCCAAGATAAATTTTTGAATTTCTGTGTAAATTTCACACCAAATTTTACAATATTTAATATTTAGGCCCAATTTAAGTTGTAGAATCGAAATATGGAAAAAAAAATTGGCATGTCATTTCAGAAAAAGTCCAATTTTGTGTCAAAATACCTACATCGGAATGGTGCTACGTATAAATCTAATATATATCCGAAGTAATGGTTTCGAGACATGAAAAACGCAATTTGAATTTCATCAATTGGCCTACTAGAACTGGAGATACAGAACTGCCCCATTTTTTTTTTTTTTTTTTTAGCAGTATACCTCCATTTTTCACACGTAAAGGCATATCATATACTTTTCCTAGGGCCCTTTTCGAGTGAGACACCCTGTATAATGAAAATAGAATGGAAAATAAAACAACAGCAAATCCTGAAAAGTTTAAAAGAAATTAAAATTAAAAAGGAAAACTGTCTGGTAATTTTTAAGAGTTAACAGATAAAAGAAATAGAGAATTTTCATTTTACTTCCAGCAACAAAAACTTGTATTATTCTAATGTATAAAAATAAAACTATTTTTAGCAAGGAATATTACACTCGGTGATACTTACTCTTTCAATTCTGCTAAAACCTGAGCAATATTAGCCTGTGATGCCAATCTAATCATGATATCCAGTTTTTCAAGCTTTACATAAATAGGATCATTGTACTTAACAAAGAATACTTTCATCTCATGTTTCAAGATATCAGGTCTGAAAAACAAAACAGATTTACATTTAATGTATACATGTCCACTAGCGATATACTACAGCTTTAACTAGATGCTTATATTTTTTACTAAACTCTTAATGAGCATCTCATTCTGGTGTTTCTTCATTGTTTATACTGTTTACTTCAAATTCAGTGTCATATGGTCACTGTTTCACAGCCTACCTTTACATGTAACTAAGATAAGATTTCTACAGAGATTTCAGTCCCTAAATTCTTTTTGCCCAATTAGCTTTATTAGTATGTTTAATTCTACCTCAAAATTACATAATATGATTCTGAATTCTTCTTTAAAATGTAAATTATTTTAATGGTGATCAAAGTAACAGTTTCATTAAGGGTTTCTATTAATATTATTTAGTTGTACCCATATTATGAATCAAAATTAGAGAAATAAAAATTTACAATTACAACTTCTTGGACTGACTGATACCTTGGTATCAAGAATAATGAAAAAGTTGTCAAGAAACTGAATGAAATCTTCTTTGAAGATTTTAAATTGGTCAAGAAGACACCTTTTCTAAGACATTTATTATTAGCATTAGTATTATTATATGCATCCATTCACCAGCTGGTTGTATTTCATAACAAAAGCACTGAAAATAAATTATTTTCAGAATATAAGATGTGCATTTTTACTTAGAAAATTAGTTAAAACAGATACAGCTTATGGTCTGAAGCCAAGTGATATGCATAATAAAATGTCTTCTATAAACTGTCTCATTGACTTGGGCTGAATTTTGCAATCCATTGCATCCTATCTTATAATACATATATGTTTTGACAAGTAGATCTATTTCCAATTGATGCAAAGCATTTCCTGTATATCTGAAAAGTGAAAAATATATAGCAATTCTATAAAAAAATATTTAATATTTTTAATTAGATATATCGTGAATATCAGTTTTATTTAAATTGGATTAAAAAGTAAAAACGTAATATTTTTAAAAACTGCATCTATTGCTTTTAAAAAGCTTACTTTGTTGATTAATAACAGACAGATTAAATTTGAAAGATAAATATCTGACATTTTGCAGAATGGCAACAGACTTGAATGAAAAGTGAAACAATGCAAATCATGTTTCAAGACTAAAAAAATAACTATAAATAATTTTAAAAACAAATATAACAGGAAAATGAGTGAAATTTACCTTTTTTGCACTATTAAGTTGATATTACGAAGAGCCACATATTGAACCTCTGGTTCACTAGACAGCAGAGTTACTAATGGCGGAGCTAGTTTTTTTGTTAAAGTTGTGACAAATTCAGAATCTGGACTCATCATTTCCATTAATTTCATCAGTACCTAAAAGTATGGGAAATTTAGTGTTTTCAATAGTTTTCTAAAATATAATAGTTATTAAGGTATATAAGAAAGTTCTTAGCATTTAAAAATTAATACCAAACGAAACTAAACCTCTCGATCCTATTACATTTTAAGATAGCATTTTTAATATAAATAATTTATTTTACATATTGCTGTACTATTATTTTAGTAACTAAAATAATATAAAATCAATCAAAATAATCGCAATTAGATAAAGTAAAAATCCTAACTCATGCGAAATGGCACTTCCTAAAACATTTTGCAAATGCAATACTGAATGTTTTTTAGATTTAGAAAATATTTAATAAAAGAGTCAAGTGATTAGACAATTTTTTACATCAAAACAAACAAAGAAAAATATACTGCCATTCAACATTTTGAAAACTATTCAACAGAAGCCAATTCATTTGACTATACCTAGAGGAAAGATAAATATTTCAAAAGAAAGAATCATTCAGAAAACCTCAACTTCAAAAGAATCAGATATCCTCTAAGCTGTTCAGATGACATTTTCGGTGAGGTCCCCTTCCTCACCCAGAAAATGAACCCCTTTCAAGAACTACAGGATAGCTGCTCAGAGAAATTAAATGTAACAGGCTGTATGATGCTAGTCGTTAGTGGGAAAACAATTCAAACTTTTAATGTTATTCAACAATAAGACTTCTTTTAATATTTTGAATTATGATTTTTTTTTAATTGTAAATGACTATTTAATAAATGATTTATAACAATTTTTTGTCATAAATCATTTCATTTTATTAAACATAAAATGAAATTTTTCTTTTAGAGAATTGAAATTTTTCAAAACTAACAATAATTCATTGCTAATATGTTTCACCAACTTGATTTCTGAATATATAATGTTCTCATTTTGAAAACAAACTATTGCATTCTCTTTAAAAATATCCATACTTTATATTTTAATAAATTTGGCATTACACTGCATTCTAAATCAGAATTAGGAATTTCAATATCTATGCATATTATGTATAAACATTTACATGTTTAACCTAAATATTTCAATTACATCAATTAAAGTATTTCAAGCCAACTTTTTGTGAAATATATACATTAGAAGTAGATATTTTGAGATAGGTAAAACAGGTATACTGATATATTTCACATAAAGATAACTTTACTATATAAACTTCTAAAAAGCATGCATATAAAAAATTTTAAATATTAAAACAAATTTCAATTTGCATAATTTTAGATAAAAAGTTTATATCAAAATTTGCTTACTTTTACAGCTGAAAGCACAACAGCTGCATTTGCATGAGCAAGCCTTGGTGTCACTCTTTCAGCAATACTAATTTAGAAAATATATATAGAGCGAGATGAGTGCAAACAAGAGTAAAAAATATATATTTCTATTAATATTTCTCATACAGATTATAATTTCAATCAAAATATACTGAAAGACATACATTGTTCTAATTTCAAACATTCCAAATACCACAGCAAAACAAATTGAATTACAAATATTTCCTTTGATTAAACATTTTAGTTCAGGTTGTAATTTGTAATGCTATAAAGTTAAGAGGGGGACAAAACCCTTTGATTATACTTTTTAACACTAGATTATAACAGCATTATTTAATGAACAATTAGGGTGGAAAAGCAAATTATTGATGTAAAAAGTTTCAGCAAAACAAAATTGCATTATTTATCTTAATAGAAAGCAACCTGAAAAAGATTTCTCTTCAAATTTTTGTATGCAAAATTTTAATTTATTTTCATATTTAAGACCTTTAAGTAAATAGAATATAAAGACAAACATTTATTTCTCAAAGATTGGCATTTCAAATTTAAATTACAATTAAAATTACTAAGATTTTAAATTGTATATGCTAATATTCTTGGTTTGCTTCTTTTAATGATTTTTCACTTTCTGCATCATCTTCTGATAAAAAAACAAAAACTCAATAATTAAATACAATCCCTGAAACAATCGTTTGACTGCTATGTTGCGCAAAAGCGCTGCGTTCATTTGTCTCAAAAACCGCTGCGCACTTAGCTATTTTAGAATGCACTCGCATTACAAAGTACATGTAAGGTCAGACTACATTCACACCCACAAAGCAACAAAGACACACTGAAAAGCGTTGCGTCGCGGTTTGAGACAAATGAACGCAGCGCTTTTGTGCTACGTAGCAGTCAAATGGTTAAGTGACAAATTAAAAGTATCATACACTTATATGCTATTACAAAATACATATGTGCCATAAAAATACTGAAAATAAACAATTAACCTCTGAGCTTCTCTTTCATCCTTTGGTAAGCAATTAGCAAGAGAATCAAGAATGAAAACTTGGCCCCATTCAGTACATTCATTCAGAGCAGTCAGCAGTTTATTGATGGTCTGAGCATTCATATCAATTAATGGCTGACCACTGCTGGAAGCTTCGTTAATTTCAGAAAGTGCAGCTACTGCATTAGCTACAACCTAAAATAGTTTGGACAGCAAGTAAAAAATTTAATGTGCAAGTAAACATATTACTGGAAATACATATTAAAATAATAAAATCAATAAAAAGAGGTTATTACGAAATTGAAAAACTATATATATTGAATAATAGCGAAAAATTTATATGAAAACTTAAAACAATAGTATAAAAATAAAGTAACTGCATTTGAGGTTATATCTTGTTCTTCATTACTTCAAAATTAAACAACCATTTAATGAACATAATAAACACTAAATTTTTATAAACAATAATAGCAACATACAGTTATGACCAATAACTTTACATTAATCAATGCTCAATAATACAATACAAATTTATTTACACAGAATTTACTATTATATAATTTATATAAGGTAAATAATACATAGCTGACCAATTTTTGTTAATAAATTAAAATTAAAAATATTTTTCCTGTAAACTAATTAAGATTTGATAGTTACATATACAATAATATGACTGAAAAATTATTTACTAGTTTAACTTATGAAGTAGAACATTTCAGAAACTAAAGTAACTTGAAAGCTGATTCACAAATTATAGCAACATACAGCAAAATATTTTTTAAATTACAGTGAAACATTTTACAGCAATTATAACTGAAAGTATCAATATTTCCCAAAACATATATAAATATTTGAAATATCATCAATAATCATGTTCTCTATGGCAGATCATCTCCACAGAGGATCAAAAATCACCCAAAACTGTAAGGTGTCATCTATGGAAGATTTCACTATACAGCAGTTTTAAAAATATTACTAATTTACAGCAACAAGTAATAAAAATTTAATAAGTTTCAGCATGCATTTTTGATGAATCAATTCAAAAATGAAAATTTGAATATTTAGGAAGTTTTCAAAGAATGGCATGACATATTCTTACCATTACAATTATATATAATAATTAGACTGCTTTTTGAATTTGCTGCTTTTGAAATTAACTTGTAATTATGGCTGGCCGCCCAAGTTGGCACAGAAACTTTGTAACTACTCTTATGCACGCCCTCGGTTGGCCAAACATTTTTGGTGAGAAACTAGATGGTGCCGCATTACTATTTAAATTTTTTGTCTACATCTAGAACTTTAAGCCTAAAATGTCTGCAAAAATGCGGTTTTCGTAAGAGCAAAAACCACATTTTTAACACGCAATTTACGCCAAAACTCCAAAACAAAACAAAAAATTTAGATAGCAAAAACATAAAGTTTCTAACCAAAAACATTTGACAAGAATCCATGTACAGCAATCTGTTTTAACTTGAAAAAAATCAGAGAATTGCACAATCTATGTAGCGTAGGAATCTATGAGTTACGCATACCTTGCTAAAATAAACTAACATAACAATAAATTTCAAACAATACCCTGTACACAGCCTTCTGTTTTAACTTAAAAAAACATGAGCGAATTGCACAATCTAGGCACCGCACACAAATCAACAAAATAAACTAAAATAAATTACAAACAATTCAAAAAAACAACAATAGAAATTCATAGCAAAAAAAAAAAAAAAATGAACATACCATTCTACAAAATAAGAAGAACAATAAAATAAAATGCACTTCAAACAGCAGAAATATCAGCTCTAGTGTAGAAATGGGTGCCCTTTCGATTAGCGACATTTTTTTTTTTTTTTTTTTTTATTTTGGCGATGAAACCTCACTTCTGGTTACCATGATAATTTAAACTTTGTTTTTGCTTCCTGATTTTATTTAAATAGAAATAGATTGATGTGTACATGGACAAATTTAAGGCAGAGTGCAATGCCTAGTTTGTGCAATTCTAGGATGTTTTTTTAAGTGAAAACAAGTCGATGTGTACATGGACACAGAGTTTGTGCAATTCTTTAACTTCTTATTTTGGTTTTGTGTACCAGCCATCTTAAAATTGTGCCTTCCTGGTGTCGATCTTGGCATCAAAAAAGAATCGCCAAGAAACAAGGGGCACCCAATTGTAAATTTTTATCGAAATATCAATTTCCACCATTTTATCCTTTCACCCTAATATGAGACTGAAATTTTGCCACCACGTCTTTTATTGCAACATAAGCCATTTCAAAATGCCCGCCAAACCAACCACTAAACAAAATCAAGTTTCCACATCAAAAGGATTGCCATACAAAAAAACATTGCACCAAAACCCATCGCAGAACACATATCGCCACATTTGGCAACTTAAGGACGTATATAAGAGTAGTACCGAAACTTTAAATATTTAATTATTTTTTTCTTTCCCCCTCCCTTTCTTGGATATTATTAACAGAAAATTTTAAACACTTCAAATAGAGATTACAATGTACAGCAGTAATTCTAATGTTATTATTTAAGCGAATGCATGTACTGCATTAAATTTTCCCCCCTAACTTGAGATTACTATGCTTATCAGATTTTTAAAAAACACTTATTTTACTCTGCAAGATTGGGCAATTTAAATAATTTATCACAGGATGGAAATTTAAAATATTTTAAAATTTCAACAGCCTCACTATTAATGGCAGGAAACATCTCAAACTTAATTGGAAGTAATTACCTTACCTTAAAAACAGCCAAGTACTTTGGAGAAATTACTAAAATAAATTATGGAGAAGTTCTTCATTTCAGCATGATACAATTTCTAGGTTTATAGTGGGAAAGTCTTTCCATGAAATAAATGCTATACAACATGAATACTTGGTACCATATTTAGTATATGCTGCAGTAATTTACTGCAGAAACTGTTTTACCAAACATACTAACTGTTATGAGGTCAAATTAGAAAATGAAACATTTTTTCTTAGATCCTATATTTTTGTTTTCAAATTTTGATTAAGACTATATATTTACTATCCAAAGCACTTTGCTTATTTCTCAATAGTTGTACAAATTTTATCTTTACAGCAATCAAAATTTATCAAAGTGCACTAAATAATCTTTGTTTTCCAAGTTAAAAATAACATTCAAAATGATCTGCTCATCCAGTTAATAAGCTGCATAAATCTTCATCCCTGGTTGACTGTTATCACAAAATATTGTGAAAAACCATATAATTCATCTAATAGAGAGACCGGAAAGTAATGTTTCTGCGCATGTCGACAACAACATGCTAAGGGCAGAAGTGAAAGCAAATCCATGTCAAACACTCTTAACCAACCTTGGTCGACCATCCAAGAACATTTAAAGCAGAATGGAAAAATAAGCAAAACAGGTGTTTGAGTCGGACATAAGCTGTCCAAAGAGAACAAAGCCAACCGATCCATCACATGCAAAGTATTGCTTTAATGGCACCATATAGAACCATTTTTGATCATTTGATTACTGGAGACGAAAAATGGGTCCTATATGATAATCCAAAGCACAAAAGGCAGTTTTAATAGGGGTTACAAAGGGTTTACATCCCAAAAAGGTGCTTCTGGGTATTTGGTGGAGTATTCATGGAATTGTTCATTTTGAATTGCTGAAACCTGGATAACTGTTAATGCAGATCTTTATTGTGAACAATTGGATCGAGTGAACCAATCTTTAATAAAAAAATATCTGGTTACTGTCAATAGAAAAGGCATCATTCTGCAACATGACAATGCAAGACAGACACTGGAAAAAGTTAATGAATTGGGATGAAAGCTGCTGCATCACCCACCATACTCGCCCGATATTGTACACTCGGATTTCCATTTATTCCAATCCTTACAACATCTTCTTAGTGCCAAAAAATTTGAAAATTTGAATGATGTCCAAAATGCCATCTTCAGATATTTTACTCAAAAATCAATTGATTTATATCAGTCCGGGAATTGAAAATCTGCACACTAGATGGGAAAAGGTTGTTGATAATGAGGGTGATTACATTATTGATTAAAAATAAAAGAGTGTTAAAAATTTATTCGTGTGAATTTAATGCAAGAAGCGACATTACGTTCCGGACCCCTATTACTTTTGTAAGATAATATTATAGATGTGTTACTAACTTAATGCTATGCTACAAGCATGGCATTGCTTAAATCCATACATCTAAGTTTAATACTACCTACCAATAAAGATTTAAATAAATTTTAGTTTCCTTGAAAACTAAGATCACGATCCCATGTGCCTTTTTCAGTTAACCTTTCAACACCTTTTTGTACTAATCTGCCCTTATACAAGCAAAAAAAAAAAAAAAAGATTCTTAAATAATTTCTTTATTAGTAACAAATCAAATGTTATGTATTTAATTACATGTGAATCATATTAATATACATTAAATAAATGCATGCATTTTGTTTGCTAATGCATGTTATAAAAGAAATTTCAAATATTTAATTATGAAATACAGAAATTTTTGGCATTTAATTAGACGCATACAGACACACACAGCATATATGTGCACATATGCTGTAGTTTAACAAATATATTATTAAAAGCAGAAGAATTCATTAAATAGTTTTTTTAATTTATCATGCATCAATATAATTTTCTCAATAATTGTCAAAAAATTATATCTAAATTTACGCCTGCCCTTGTTTAAACATTTTGATATTATAAGAAACATTAGTTGCAAATGTTTGAAATAACATAAAATATTACCATTGGATTAGAATCAGATAACAGGTCTCTCAGCTGGTCTAAAAAGCCTTGGTCTTCTACTAACTGGGCATTGATATCATGTAGTTTAGCCACTGACACTGCTGCTGTCTTTCTAACATATGGATCTTCATCTTTCAAACACTTTCGGAGAGGTTCACAAAGATACTCAGTTATCTTGTCCACACGGATACATCCCATAGTGCGAACAGCCAAAGCACGAATCAGAGGGTTTGCATCTTCACAATCCTTTACAACAAAATAGTTTTCAAACATGTAGTAAAAAGTATATACAGCAGTATAAGTATCATGATTTTGTCAATAAAAAGCAGTAATATCTTTACTAATTAATAACAGATTTCATTAACAAATTATACAATTTTTAATATCAGATGAATACTAAAAATTACATCTTATTAACCACAAATCTTGTTATAAAATATTTTAAGAAGCAGATGAATTTTCTTCATTAAAACTGCATCATTCATAAAAATGATTGAAACATAATCAAGTTTTTTTATTTGTTACAGTATCTTTTACATCTGTCCTTGATATTTTTCAGTTCAACAGAAATTTATTTTCTTTCTAACATCTGAAATTCTTCAAATTCCAACTTAACAAAATTATTATTCATTATTATGTTAAGTAAAATTTATAGTTACTGTTACATAAACTGCTATGATTAAATAAAAGAACCATTTTAATTCAATTTTGAACGTGGTGGATATCACGAAATACTACGATGCCTCTTTGTGCTTTCAAGTTCCCAAACAGTTCCGAGCATTCGCATAGTAAAAGTAGTTATTTTTCAAAAAATTTTCAATTTTCTATTGGTTTTACGTTTTAAGCTGGACCACTTAAAACGATAGTTAACAAATGATATTGTTAAAACAAGTATCTGAATCAGATATTATTAAATTGGATTTGAAATTACTTCAATTACTTTGCAATTTTATTATTAAATAGATGAATAGCTTGTAAAAAGACTTCTCTAATATTGATTTCTTTTTCTAAGTTTATACTATATTATATATATATATATATATATATATATATATATATTATATATATTTTACAGAAATTTTAAACTCTGAAATAATTACAATTATCAGTGCTCAACATGATCCCATCTAGTTCCTTATGTTTATCTCAGCACTTGACAAGCATACTTTTACTGCAATAAATAAATTTCTTGAGAGAGGTGTACAACCACTTATGCAGGACAGATCAGATCTCATTTGTTATCCACAAACTTCATTCCATTTAGGTGTAATCTCTCAATCATATATAGTGGTAATATTTTTGCTTTTCACAGTCTGTGTAATACTGACAGAAGAGCTTTTAACACTTTTGGTGTTGCTATAGTTTTAAACAGCCATCATTTTCATACTCATCTTGCAATCACTTTGCACTTAAGAACATAGAAACAAACAAAACAACAAAACATTCTTGATTGTCATATACCAGTTTTCCTGCTGGATCAGAGCACTGAGAATTCTCCAAGGTAATTACATCAATCTTCTTAGTCCACTCGTACATTTATATATGTCCCATTCACTTGTTACTACCGTCCTAAATTTTTCTCCATGATGAATTCACATAAGTTTCATTCCTTCACTTAATAAAAATCGTTCTTGCTTGTTATGTTGTTATAAAGGCAATTCCCTCTTGTTTAACTATTTCCCATACTATGCATGCTAACATCTACTGGCAGTTCAAGGTCATTCATTGTCTTGAATACACAACACGACAATGATTAATTTTAATCTTAATTTTCAGTTTTCTTTCACAGTCACCAAGAGGTATCCTGTTCTAGAAAGAACCCATTTATGATTACAGGAGTTAAATCTCTATTGTGTTTTGCAAAACAAAACTTGGTTTTTAATAAATTGCAAAACAAAAGTTTATAGGAATAGACAAATATATGTACCAGTTTCTTGTTATTTCATCCTAACATTAAAAGCAATAGAAACTACAAAATTAAAAAATTGACAAAAACATTCACAAAAAGAAAAAAAAAAAAAAATCAGGCACACAGTGTTCTCCCACAATGGATTTTTGAGGTTTTATCATGAAATTAAAGAATGCTTCCTTGCTGCTGTTTTTAATAATTTTACTTCAGCCTGTATACAGCTAAATATAAGAACAAAGAAATAAGCCAATATGGCAATGAAAATGCACAATAATAAAATGCTTTAATGAAAATGTACCAAATCAATCATAACAAGCTTGCATTTTGTCCAAGTACTGATGCTCAACTATCTAGTTAGGATACCAACATCATCACTATTAGCTTCACTATATGTACATGTACTATTTATAGAATATTTATAAGGATCAGTTTCATCTATATTGAGAGATTAAGTGTTAAAACAGTTCATACCATTAGCCTTAAATGGTAACTTCATAATGCATTTTGAGCGAGATCACAGTTATTTTTACCAAATGAAAGCATGATAAAAAGTGTATAAAGCTGATACTATAACAACTATATAGCTGATACTATAAACATTTCCTTACAATCACTCAGCACTCTGATAACTAGATATTAGAACCATCCTGCAGTAATATATTGCTACATGTAAAATAACATATTAAAGCAACCACTTTGATCCATTTGATGATTTTTTACGAAAGGGAGAAATCATTAAATTCAATTGTAAAAATTAACTTGTTACATGTATAAATATTATTACACACATATTTTACATTCTAGTAATCAAGTATTTATTCCAAAAATCAAGCATTAAACTTATTTACAAACTTACTTTTAATTTCTTTTGTTCTCACGAAAATTTTGTGACAATCACTTTACAAAAAACTCAAAACAATTGTTTGTTCCCTTTAGCCATTTTGCATCATAATACTGTATTCTAACAAAACTTTTACCACAGTCTCTTCCATTGATGGCAAACTCCACACATCTTAAAATTGAGTTTAAAGGGGAGAAAAATCAGTTTGTCTATGAAAAGCCTTTGGAATAGAACAAAGAGAACTTTACAACAACAGCAATGTTGCTTGACTGAAGAACTATTATAAGCATGTTTGCCAACTGTAAAAAGTCCTTTAAATTCCGACTATTATAGTTACAACAAAATATAATGTATTAAATATTTTCATATCAAAAGTTTATAAGCATATTTAAGCATAAAAATTTATTTATGTTACACTTTTAATCAATATAAAATTCTTCTTGAAATCATAAAATACCTTAACAAAAGTGTTTACTGCCATAATTGCCATATCAGGTTGACTCTTAGCATAGTTCATCAAATATAAATAAACCAGCTTCTTCAGTTCCAAGTTATCTGTCTGCATGCAGTTTACAACATCGGGAAAAAGAGCACTAAAACAAGTTCAACTTTAAGTTCATAAAACAAACCATAGCAAATGAAGTAAATAAATAATATTAATGAGAGATAAAAAAAATTCGTACTATGCTTCTAAATAATGAAAGACTTATTTACCTCACATCTTTGCCAACAGTCATAGAAGCAATTACTTTCTTAACTGCTTCTCTTTTCTTTTCTTTTTTATCACTATTCAGCTCACTTTTTAATTCAAATATTTCACCTTGAAGAAAAATGAAAATATATTTGAACACAAATAGGGATTAAAGGAACTAAGCAAAGCCTACTTTAATAATCTAATCTAATTTTTTTCCCCTATTTTGTTATTGCTATGGTCCATTTCATAAACAACATCAAAATTATCAATAAATAGATAAAATCATCTTAAATGCCCAGTAGTTTGAATAACAACCATATACAGTTGTTTAAGACAAGAAAAACTATTTATACTGATTTATATTAAAACATGTTATTGAATTTTCTTTTTTTGGTATCAGTATGGACAATTCATCATCATTCTTAAATCTTTTGTCATGAGAACAGCTCCAAGAATTCCATGTGTTTAACATATTTTCTTTCTTTAAAATACTGTTAAAATGTAAAATGTCTGATTCACCAAGAAGTGAGAAGAATGTTATATCTTTCATCCAAAATAGATGCATTTCACCTTCATTCAAATATGCAAAATGACCATTAAATGGAACTACATATTAATGAAAGGATTTGGATGTGCAGCATAAAAAGCTGCATGATGGATTGGATTGGATTATTGCAATTTGGCACAAAACCTGTCAAGGTTATCTGCGCCAGACAAATGGTAACAATGCAATTAGTCATTTGTAAAAACTTCCAGCTTAGGTAAAAAGAGACAGATTACAATCTATGATAAGAGCTGATATCTTTTAAAAAACAGGTTAAAGTCTATTATAAAAGCCAATATCTTTTAAAAACAGAAACAAATTACGATGATGTGTTTTTCCAATTAAATTTCCTAAGTCCAGTTCTGAACAATTAAAATGTTTTTGGCAAAAATAATTAAAATGCTGGCATTCCATCATGATATGATGGACTGTCAGATCTGCATTGCAGTTTGGGCAGCTGGGATTCTCTTCCTCCCTTCAGAAGATACTCATGGGTCAGGCGACAATGGCCAATTCTCAGTCGAGTCAAGAGGACATCTTCCTTTCTATTAGCCATACATGGCCAGTATCCAATGGTGGGTTTTACATTTCTCAGCTTGTTATATACTTTGTCATCCCATTGCTTCTGCCATTTGCTGAGAATTTTGCTTTTGACAAACCCTTTGACGTCTGCTAGAGGAATCTGAAGATTGTACATTGTGGTTGCAGTTTTAGCTGCAATATCCGCCAATTCAATCTCCTTAATGGCAATGTGTCCAGGGATCCATGAATATAGAATCTGGTATCCCCGAATTTTTAAAGAATGATTCAACTTCAGGATTCTGATTGCAACTGGATGAGTACAATGAGCGTGATTTTTCAATGACATTAAGGCACTCGTGGAATCTGTGTAGATAATAAATTTTATGTACTTTTGTTTTGAAAGGTAAGTCAAAGCCACATGGATTGCAGTAAGCTCAGAAGTAAGCACATAGCAAACTGTATGTAATCGAACCCTTACTATTGTTTTCTCTGTGACGAAAGCAGTGCCAACATGATCCTGGGATTTTGATCCGTCTGTATATAAAGGGATATATTTCCTATATTTGTTTCTATGTTCAAAAAATATCTGCTTGTAGATGATTTCATTAGTTTGTGATTTACTCCAGTGTCAAAAAGTATCCAGAGAATGGATTCTCCAATCCTCCCAGGGAGGAATTCCAAAAAAATCCTCCATCTGTATATCTATATTTGACAAATTATACTCCTCCACCAAAGCACTCATCCGCAAGCCGAAAGATGGGACACATGATGGTTGTGCCTGATATAAACGGGAGTATGGTCATTAAGCAATTTGACCGCGTAGAATTTTCGGTTTGTGATAAGACTTTGAAATAATGCTTAAAACAAAGATTTTCACGTCTTAACCGCAGGGAGGTCTCGTTACTTTCCACATATAAGCTTTCCACTGGCTACATGATGGAAAAGCATACATTTCATAACTAGTTCAGTGATTTCAGAATACCGTTTGTAAAAGTGCAGCAGCAATTTATTAGTTACTGTTATTACAGAGCAATTTATTATTTACTGATATGACTATTATTACAGAGTTACTGGCATCGATTAAGTGGTAGAAGAAGCAACTTCACAAAAATATAAATATTGACGAACAGTTTCGCGAGAGAGGTTCTCGTGAAATTCTCTACATCTAATACAACAAGCAAGTAAGCAAGTAGGAGGCCCTGAAAAAATTGTGGACATAAATGAAAATCTCTTTGAACAAGGAAAAAAAAAAAAAAAACTGGCAGGGTTCTTCCACAATACTGAATATTATTTGGCAGAATAAGCCACAAAACTGGTGATTTTTTTCCCTGTCAGTTTTTGAATAGAGAAGCAACTACACTCATGAAAAAAATAGTCAACCATGTGCAAGATGGACTGGTGATTTATTCAGACTGTCAGCAAGCATATAAAATAGGAAAATCAAAAAGAGCAGGTAAAAGAGATTTTACATTGAACCATAAATTTCATTCTGTTGATCAAGCAAGAGCTGCTCATATATAAAATGTTAAATAACTGAGGCACTCTGCTCAGTGGCAAAATAAAAATCAACAAAGCACTGTTAGCCATTATCAAAAATCTTACCTTGTGGCTTATGTTGTACTAAAAGCAACTTCAGAAATAGCCACAAAGTATATGTCAGGAGCAAACATAAACTTGAGGATTATTCTTGTGCAAACTTGGTATTTAAAATGCAGTAGCCATAATAAAAAGGAAGTACATCTTTTTTTAGCATTGAATCAAATACCTTTTGCATAAAATTACCTTTAAACATCTCGATTTAAGTACTTGGAATACTGAAAGCCCAGGAAAACGTAAGTTGTAACTAAACCAATCAATTTACTCTTAAATAAATTTCATATTTACATTACAAAGAGTTGAAATACGAAGCAAATGAAATAACTGTTATCTTAAGTGGGAACAGTATTTAATTTCTCTCAAGTTCTGCAGATAGTCACTTTGCATTTCTCAAATATGAGAAGAATGATAGGCAAACCTGAAGCTGACTTATCCTCAATTTGTTATCAACCTTCAATTACTTCAAGACCAGTCTGAAAAAAATTTCAACATGTTAATATTATCGAGCCAATAATCAATTTTCTCATCAATCCTTTTACTTGCCAAGTAAACGTAATCAAAATAGCTGTATATTACAGAGTTTACTCAAGCAAAAATGGAAGAACTATAGTTAGAAATTTTTGTTCTTCAAAATGACATTGTCCTAAAATCTAGTGTATCAAATCAGAATTTCTGGAATATAGCTAAAAGTAACACATTTTCATTCTTGAAAAGAGCATTATACAAGGGAAAATCATTTTTTAGCTCCACATAATCGTGTGAATCATTGTTTTCAGTACTGAATATCACTAAATCAAAGTACACACCTTGACTTTTAGATGAATATCATGAATTGCTTATGAGCAAGAAATAGCATCATATTCTCCTAATCATGAAGCAATGACCAATGAAATGCAATTCCCGTATCCCATTAATTTAAACATCAATGAATTGTAAAATGAAGAATTTATTTGCCTATATTGTTTTGTAATTATTTATTTTACACAAGAATACAGTCAATAATTTTTATATCCTAAAATTACATTTTTGGATATTATGTGCATTATTACTTTATCAACTTATAAGTTTACCTTGAAAAAGTAAATATGCCCACCACCTAACCAGTATTCTAGAATGTGCTCTAAGGTACAAAAAGGTTGGGGGATTCCTGGTCCAGATTATACAGTACGTAGTACAGTCAAAAGTCGTTAATTCGGACACCCATAATCCGGAATGATCTATAATCTGGACCTCAAAGCTAAAAACTTTCTGCGCATGCGCCGCGTTGACAAATGCGCACAGGTATTTTACGGGTGCACGTAAGACCTTTACGACTGCGCATATGCGTGTGCGCAAGCACAGAATACGTTTTTGCCTGCGCGTTTAATGTATAACAGACGGTATAAGCTAAAATTATCTAATTATCTATTTCAGTTAATGTTGATGATTGCGTTGTTACTTAATCTTCGAATTGAAATTTTTTGCAGACCGTAAGAGCAATTTTATAAAAGTAAACTTGAACTTTCAATTATGTCAAATAGAATTTCCGATGCTGGAGCTCCCAAAGGATCTACAAAACGAAAGTATGTTTCGAAGTCCATCAAACAAAAAGTGGAATTGCTGCAAAAAATGGATAAAGGCATATCCGTCTCAAAATTATGCAAGGAGTATAACATTGGAAAGTCAACTGTATATGACATAAGCAAAAAGAAAAAGGAACTTTTTGATTTTTTTTTTTTTTTTTTTTTGGATTCCGACACCCCACTTGCAATGAATAACAGAAAAAGGGTTCGTTATGCTAAAAGTGACGATAATGACAAAGTGATGATTGAATGGGTCAGACAGTGTCGCAGCGAGGGCGTGCCATTGACGGGTTGAATGGTAATGGCTCAAGCCAAAATATTTCATGAAGAAATGAACTTAAACGGAGAGTGCACATATTCGACAGGTTGGTTAACAAAATTTAAAAATCGCCATGGTATAAGACAATTAAAAGTTTCTGGTGAAAAATCTTCAGCTGATACTGAAGCTGCTGAACAATTTGCAGATGAATTCATTACTAGTGAACAATTATCTGCAGAATAAATTTCCAATGCTAATGAAACTGGTCTTTTCTGGCAATATGTACCGTGAAATACCTTGGCAACCTCTACAGAAAAGGCTCCAACTGGTGTCAAAGATTCCAAAGCGAGACTAACAATTTTAGCGTGCGCAAATGCTGCAGGAACGCACAAGTGCAAACTTTTTGTAATCGGAAAACATGCACGACCTCGAGCGTTTAAAGGAATGACGATTTTCCCTGTAATATATCGTGCAAATAAAAGAGCATGGATGACACAAGTGTTGTTGAATGATTGGTTTGAAAATCATTTTATACCCGAGGCTCGGCGACATTTGAATTCAGTTGGTTTACCTGATGACTCAAAAATAGTCCTGATTGTTGATAATTGTTCAGCGCATACTTCACTTAAAGTTTTAGTGAAAGATAATGTATCCGTATATATTTTTCCCTCCAAATTGTATGTCTATCATTCAACCTATGGAATATGGAAATAGTGCACGTGTTGAAATGCAAATATAAAGTAGCATTTTTAAAAATCTAATGTTGAATTTCTTGAACAATGGCAAGAACCATTCAAGACTTTTTGAAATTTTTTAGCATAAAATCTGCTGTTTGGAGCATTGCAAGATCGTGCGGGAGGATGCGTCTCCAGATATGTTAAAAAATGCTTGGCATAATTTATGGCCAACTACCATTTTTCATGGCAAGGACAATGAAGATGATAAGCCGCGAATTTGAAGGTTTTCGGACATCGCAAACTAAAGGTGAAATTTTTCAGTTATTGGATTTTGTAAAGAAATGTGGAAAAGCGGTAATAAATGAAGATGATATAAGAGAAGTTTTTCATTGCGACGACAATGCTCCAATCATCAATCAATTAACGGACAGCGAAATCTGTAGTATGGTTCTAGATCCAGAAAATATTGCTTCCGATAGTGAAGAAAGTGACACAGATGTTATTGAAAACGAAACAATTTCGATTGACAAATTAGTTGGTATTCTCGACACCGCAATTATAGGACTTGAACAGCGGAACTTTGTAACTGAACAAGAAATTATGTCTGTTTATAGAATTAAAGAGAAAGTATTATCACATAAAACGAAGCAACCTAAACAACTTACATTGAAAGAAATGCTTAATAAAGTAAACAAATAAATATTAAGCTTTTTTTTTTTTATAAATTTTGATACCCTTTAGATCATAATTGTTCTTTATTTCATAAATTACGGTTTCATATTTTTAATTTTAGAATTTCTGCATGCCATCTTACGAGATTTAAACTGATGATCTATAATCCGGAATCGACAAAGTCCCGGCGAGTCCGGATTAACGACTTTTGACTGTATTAGATCCAGACTTCCGCAATTCCAGAAATTTCCAGATTTTAAATCATCAGCTTGAATCTAGTAAGATGACATGTACAGATTATAAAATTAAAAACATAAAATAAAATAGTGTCTGAAATAATGAACTATTTATGAATTTAAAAGAATCAAAACTTAGGAAAAAAAAGAGGCTCAATATTCATTTATTTGTTTTATTGAACATTTCCTTCAATATAAATTTTTTTAAGCTGTTTTATTCTTTGTGCCAATGCTTTCTCTTTAAAGATAGACATTATTTCTTGTTCCATTAAAAAAAAGCTCCATTGTTCAAGTCCTGTAATTATCATGTTGAGAATTCTCATTAAACTGTCAATCGAAATTCCTTCATTCTAAAAAATCTGTCACTTTTATCATGATAGGTAGTGATATTTTCTAGATTTAAAATCATCTCTTAGTTGACTTATGATTGAGGCATTGCCATTGCAATGAAAAACTTCTGTTATATCATCTTTATTACCCCTTCTTCACATTTCTTCACAAATTCCATTAATTGGAAATTGCGTTTTTTGTTTGCAATATCCGAAAACCTTCAAATTCTTGGCTATCATCATGAAGCTTAGCATCTGCTATACACTGTTGGCAAAGTAATCATGAGACAGGCAACTGAAGACAAGTTGTCCTATCTGCGATTTTTCTGGATAATAGATCATCAGTTTAAATCTAGTAAGAAGACATGTAGAAATTACAAAATTAAAAATATTAAATTGTGGTTTATGAAGCAATAATGAAGCATTTATGACCTTAAGAAAATCAAAATACTTAGTATTTATTCATTTGCTTCATCAAAGTATTATTTTCAATGCAAGTTGTTTCTATGTTGCTTCGTTTTTGCATGCTAATACTCTCCCTTAAATTTTGTAAAGAGATGTAATTTCTTCTTCAGATACAAAATGCTATTGTTCAAGTCCTTGACGTGATGGGAATTCCTACTCAACTGTCAACTGAAATCTTTTCATTCTCAAAAATCTCTTTGTCACTTTCGCAACTAGCGGCAGAGATATTTTCTCGATTTAAAATCATATTACAGAATTTACCAACCATTAGCTGACTGCTAAATGGGACAAAGTCATTATAATGTAGAACTTTTATATCATCATAATTTATTATCAATTTCCTACATTTTTTCATAAACTCAATTAGAAAATTTTGCTTTCAATAACATTCAAAATTTATGCCAAAATATGCTGTTTTGCCTAATTTAAAAAAAAAAAAAATTTGCTCTTTCTTACATCCAAACAATGCTAAAGTCAATGTGTTGCCTCTATTACCACTATACAAAGCAAAAACATGCTTTTGCCTTGCAAATGCTGCTACAGCTCCAGAATTAGAAAATCTTTTTGACAAATCAAAAATTTTTAACTTTAATGTTGATAAAAAGGCCATAATAAGTTTTGCAGGCCCTAGTAATAGCCCACAAAAACTGGAACAAATTAGTTGAGGAACAATGCAATTTGCATTTTAACTGAATTTAATTTCTTTTCTCTTCTCACAGTTATGCCAGCAAAAACAACCAATATCAGCAACACCCCACACAAACATATATATGTCATGAAGCTTCACTTATAGTTTAGGTAAAAAAAAGGTAAAATATTACCTCCCCACTCAGTCACCACTAACATCAATCGGTGTACTGCCAATGAACCCCAATGATGAGATTCCCTGGCTAGCAACTGTTTAAAAGTGGCACGTAGGAATCTCGGATAGTTGGGAGGAAAATCGCTTTTATGACACACCTGCTTTTTTCTACAGTATTGTACTCTGTTCCTAAAGGTTTGTAAAAAATATGTATTCTAGGCAGTCCGAAGGTCCAGATAAGGGACGTCCATATTGAAAACTTCGTACTGTATTCATTTCTTCATTTTGCAAATCACAAAAAAATTCTTAAAAAAAAAAAAAATTGGAGACAGATCCTTCAATGCACTTAGCTACATTTATGAAGTTAAAAAGAATTTACAAGAAATTTTGATCACTAAATTAAAAACTAATTTTTTATTTTTACTTTATCCATAAAAAAGACTCACCTTTTTTGGTGGTGGTAAAATATTTTGCATCTGTCATGATGTTTCTTTAAAGAAATGCAAAGCCTCAGGACTGTAAAAGAAATATTACATTAATTGAGAGTACATTATTTTTCTTTATCTGAAAAGTAAACATTACAATTTAATTACCATTGATTTCATGAAACAATTTTTTTCAATTTCTGCCTATTTATGCCAGTTTCCTACATATTCAAAAGTTGAGTATTCCTTTGAATCTTTTCAAGACATAGTAATATAAAACAAAGAAGTAAGTACCCTTAAGTTCTTGCACTATGATTCAAATGACATGATATGTGCTACTTACAATGAAAATCTTCCACGTGTGTTACCACTTACAGTAGTTTGATGACATGACACGTATGTGTTGATAAAGCATAAACAGGAAATCATTGACCATTATAACCATGAATTGAAACGACCATTGTGGCATGAATAAAAATAAGTAACATGTAATACCCTAAAAGTATATAATAACTTAATTTATGAAACAAAAACACCCTCTTCATTTACTATTTTTATTTATTACCTTTTCAAATTCATCACATATCTGATTCTCACTTTGGACTGTAAGTACACTACGTCCATTTCTATGTCTATCAAAAATATACTCCCCCACATGCTATGGTACTAGGAAATAAGTTACACTGGGAACTTTTTTTTTTTTTTTTAATATTCTCAAAATCAGAAATTAAAGTGACCTTACTGATATGTACAGCTTGTTCTGCTATAGATCACTGAAACTTGGTATATATGTAATAAAAATTAACAGTTCTAAGCTCAACCCCCCCCCAGATGAAAAGATAACACAAAATCCACAGATTGGAAAAATAAAACCCTACATAATCATAGTCTTTGTTCAATGTGCATTCTTCGACATTCAAAGCAAATTACAGTCTGTTCAATAATAGCACAAAGGGCTTCTTGAAGAACTGCAGCAACATGGCATATTATGCTTGCTTCTAATTCACACACAGCCCATATGGTTTCTTTCCACAGATACGATCTTTCAGAAATCCCCGTAGCCCCCATATTTGGAATTTAATGCTGGAAAATGAGGAGGCCAGATGTTCAAAAAACACACTGAAATTTTACAATCATCTGCAATATGAGTACATAGCCAATATGAAGTATTGTACCATCTTACATGAAAACCACTTGCTTGCATCCAATATGTACCACTTTCATGCAAGATAGTGTTAACTGCCCTCCCCGTTTTGGAGATTCCTTAATACAGTTCTTTTCTTACACATGCATTTCACACCAATGAGCATGTCATTGCTACCTGTCATGTAACCTCAATTCCGACACTTTCAGACAGTCAAATACTTGAAGAATGGAAGTGTTCATGGAAGTATTCTTACAGAACATGTGAAATACCACAGAGGATCAACTGGAAACAGCTTGTGAACATATTATTCCTCATTTTCAATCTGTGCAAATTTTAAAATCAAAAACACATTACGCAAATTCTTTAGAGCATCTTATACGAAAATAAGTGGTACATGATTGTGTTAATTGCACATAATATGCTACAGTCCATATTGAAAGCAACTCAGCTCATATTTTCTTTGCTAACACTGCATAAAGTAATGCAGTACAAAGTCCGTAATCCGGACTTCAAAGGCACAAACTTTTTTTTTTGTATGCTTTACGCATGCGCATAAAGAATGTGCATACATTACGCACTAGCGCGTTGAAAGAAATGTTTAATAGAGTAAACAAATAAATATTAAGTATTTTTTAATTTGACACCCTTTAGATCATAATTGCTCTTTTATTTCATAAATTATGGTTTCATATTTTTAATTGTATAATTTCTGCATGCCATCTTACCAGATTTTAATTGATGATCTATAATTTGGAAAAACCACTAATCTGGAATCGCCGAAGTCCCGATGAGTGATGAGTCCGGATTACGGACTTTGTACTGTACTTCTTTCTACGATTTCATGACAAATATTAAACAATATATTAAAAAATGAAATGCTTATTATATATAAATGCTTGTGGTAATATATTAAACAATGAAATTGTTTTTGTGATTTTAGTTAGTCATATGGCTTCTCTTATTTTATCGCAAAACAGCCACAGTGGACATCTAACCAATTTGCAAAATCATGTTCTGCAATCTTTAAGATTGCATATTTTATTTTTTGCACTGATCAACTATGGAGTGCTTTGAACAGGCTAACTTTCAAAATCATCTGATATATGTCAAGACATACTTAAATTATTCTGGTCATGTAACAGGATTTCTAGAACTGTAACCTGAGAATCAGTTCATATTTAATATTTGCAGAAAAAACTATTTTACTCTGCATTTAATAGAAACACTAATTAAATGTTTTGCCATTAAGAATAAAAACAAAAGAAATAAGAAACAAAGTGGAAACTAAAATTTGAAATATCAAGGAAATTTCTCAGCTGAATTCAACTTTGGCTATAACTGTCTCAAGCAGAAATTTAGCTATAACTATGACAAGTAAATATAAAAAAATTCTATTTCATTTTGCAATAAACGTGGTGTTCCATCAAGAGGGCATAAACTTTGGAAGTCACCTCGGGTCAGGATATATTAAAAAAATGACCAAAGAATTATGATCCACAGTTTTTAAGAAGTCACTTCTGATGCACAGAAAATAAGCTTTATTTGAAACACAGAACCACACAATGGATAAAAATATAACACAGAATTTACCCACCATTATACTAGCAAATGGGAAAATTTGCATTATAAGGGATAGATGATAAATGCTACTTGTTGGAGTGCATTGTAGACCTACCACCTCGTATGGCACCCTGGGCAATGTTGTTATAACAGCCAAGTGGTCTATAGATTTCAGCATGTTTTTCCGGCACAATTTCAGCAAAGTTTCGGAGGTTGGCCTTAGTTTTTTGCAATGGAACAATGGTGGTTTATCACAATCAAAAAGAATTGATCTAATTCACACTCTCAGAAGTGGCTGCCATTATGGAGGCAAACCTCACTCTTGATAACATTAGATATTATATTTTTCTAGGCTACTCTGTTTTTCTCCTCCTTAAATATCTCCTTAAATGCAGGTGGAATACAGTGGGTATTAAAAACACTTTGAAATCAGACTAAAATTTTTAAGGAAATGCGAGATTCTGAAGTCAAAAGTGAAATCATTAAATTAGATGTCTGGAAGGAGAATTCGCACTTCATGTCTTATCCCAGGTAACAAACTCAATTTGTCTACACTATCTAAGTATAAAAAGGCAGTTGTTATTGATGATACAAACGCTTATTCCATGCATTGGGGATATAGCAATATGAATGCTGCTGGCTTGTTTTCCCAAGACATAAAACTATGTCTTCCCCTTTTCAACGTAAATAATTGAATTTTAAAAAAGCTGATTGGGAAGATTTCTTGAGATTAAATAAAGACAAACTGCTTATGAAGAATTTTAATTTCTTCTTGCATACTCTTGCATCACATAGAAATAAGGCTATGTCCACATGTACAAAACACTCTAAGGGGAAGAGTCGGAACTTGTGCATGCTTTTAGTCAAGGGAACTGCATGAAACTACAGCTAAGGAGGATCACTTAAAAAAAAATGCTAATTTATCTAAAATGCAAAATGATGTAAAATACTCTGAGAAAAGTGGTAGTGTTCAGGAAAGCTGTCTCAAAGGCTAAACAGAAATGTTTTGATAAATTTATATCTAACATCAGTTATAAAGAGGAAGACAGTATGAAAATATATAAATTCTTATCAGCATTGCAAAATAAGAGACAGGTTTTCAAAAAAGAACCAATCTCATTTAACGGGACAATATAAAGTTGTGGTTGATGTGTTTGGCTCAGTTTTCTATAACATCCAAAAAAAAAAGGCTTTTCACCCAAAAAATGTCAAAACAAATTAAAGAAATTAGAGAAGATGAGCAAAAGTTCAACAGCTCAGGTAACACTTGTGCTATTTTTACAGCTCCTTTCTCTCTACATGAATTGAGAATGGCTACAGAGTGGCAGATAATGAGGAAATTCCGAAGAGAGGATAACAACCACATAGAATAATTTCTTGATTCTTCTTTCCTTTCCAGCAGTTTGAAAATATAATTCTGCCATTCGCACTGTATTCCTGAATGGCAGCCATCAGTGTTGTAGCACAACGATCAGGAATGGCAACCAAAAATCATTCTTTGCTTTCCTGGTTTAAGTCCCTGAATACCCATTATTCCAAAAGAATACATCCAGCACTGTTTTTTCTTTTTGTGAAAAGACTTTCATTATTTCTACGGTTTGTTGGCACCATCGATTTTATTTCTTTTACGAGACATCAAACTATTTGCCCATACCTCCCTTAAGTAGTTATTCCAATCTATTGTCGTATTATGGCTGACTCCTTACTGAAGTTGGCAAAATTTAACTGATATCAATTCCTGACACCACAAACATAAAATTTATGGCCCTGAGAAAAGAAAGACACGAGCTTTTAAACCATGTTTTGGTTCTCAATCCTTTTTTTTTTTTTTTTTTTTTTTTTGTACAGCAAAAATGTACGTAACAATGCTATATAGGCAACAATGCCTGGTTTCTTTATTCATCTGCTAGAGTCAAAAGTTGACTTCATCAAATGATTTTGAGAACAAAGTTAATTGCCATGAATTATTCCTTTGTCCTGAAGGAATCTTATGGAAGCCACTTCATCATTAGATAATTTCCAAATTGTTTAGTCCATCTTACTAAAAAATTGGGAAAAAATGGTAAAAAAAATAACGTGTGATGATATTTCAAACGAAAACTGGAAATCTCGAGCCACAATATTAAAACGTTAAATTCTCAAGCCTCGAAATTTGGCATGTTGTCATAGCATTGTTTTCTTCTCTTTACATTCACCGATGCCACTGTAATGGAATAGTACCTATAGTAGCCTATTATATCGCCATATGACACAGCAATGTTAAATGTGCTCAATGCCGAATTTTTGCAATTCTCTTTCAGATTTTTTAGGCAAAAATAGATCACAATGTACATGGGAAGAACAACAGTTTCACGCTCCCCGTGCACACAGCGATCTGTTATCACTTTAAAAAAATCACAGAATTACCCCAAGTTCAGCATCATGCACATCCCTGGCACTAAGCAATTTAAACATTATACTATATAAAACAGTTATTCTCTTTACAATATTTTACGTATCATTAAACTTGCGCTATTTAGTTACACTTCACACCAACATTTATGATTAGCACTAAGTGGCATCCCATAAAACAGTAAAGTACCAAAAATTCTTAAACAAATTCCAAGTAGATTTCTTACACAAATTCAATTTTTCAACACAATGCATTTATTAAGAACTCGTAAAAAGTTTTAAAGTATGAAATTACTTCTTAAATTGCAATTTTCCTAGCAAAAATACTGTTTTACAAACACTTAAAAAAAATTATCAATACTGGCTACTGGGCTGGTTCATAAGAAAGAGATGCCAGGTTCATATGGAATCAGTCATCATGACAAGAATTTCTTTTCAATTATTGCACCTTAATAACTATTTTATGCTCGTTAAAAAAATTTCAGGGTTTTCATCCGCAGAGAACCCGTTGACGCCATTGCAATTTTTACTCGCCAAGCTATGAGCTGAGCCGTAAACGTGATTTTTAGTGCATGTAAATTCAAGTTAGCAAACAAAAGAATATATTAAGCATATGGTAGTAAAAATTCACAGATAATAAGCATGTAGATGTAAAACTGGTTAAACATGATATACGAAATAAACCTGTCTTTTTCATAATATACTTCACAATACAAATAACCTTCAACAGTAATCAAATTTTCTTCAATAGCATTGTTAATAAAACTAAAACTTTATACATTTTATTATTTTTCAAGTTATTTGAAATGTATTCTGTACACCAGCAGTGGTTTGCTAATTTTTGAGGACCATGGGGATGCATCAAACTACTCTGTCATTTTAGATAATCAATAATATTTTTTATTTCAATTTAATCAGCTATTTATGTCGCACCTGCCATCCTCTGAAAAGTTATTGTTAGAAAAGCATTAACAATATAGTATCTTGTTAAAATTTTACACCATAAAAATTGGAGCTGAGAACCGGCATCTATCGACGAAAACTTCTTTAATTATAAGAAAATATTTCTATCTATTTGTTGTTAAAAAATAACGTGGAAAATCAGAGAAAATAATAATAAATAAGAGAAGAATATAAATCTCCAAATGCGAACAACGACAGTGATAATTCAACAAAATGAATGCAAGAGGAATGGTTGCAACCTTCAAACAAGCAAATAGAATGAATCTGATAGTTACCAGGTTTGAACTATTATTGCCAAAGTTGGCGATGTTTACATTTACCGGGTTCTCTGCGGAAGTGCTTCCAAATTTCAAATTTATACTTCTTTAAATTCTACGTACATATAGAGAAGCAAATCTTAATAAAATCAAAATAAGTTTCTTAAATTATTTTAAATTTTCTTAAATTTCTTAAATCTATTAACTGAAAGAATGGTTCCAAATAATGAAACATTCATATATCAATACTTGTAATAAATTTATAATTTGCAAGTTTCTCATCAGTCATATTTTAAAACTTTATTTAATTAGTTATTTGTAAAATTTGTATTATTTAATCTGTATAGAAAATTTTTAAAAATTAACTTCAAATCAAATATAATGGTTTCTTACAATGAAACACCCATGCATCAAAACACTGAAATCTTTTAAGATGGTAATTCTCATTTTGGTAAATTTTAAGAAACTGAATTTGTAATGCTATTACTGAGTTTAAAAAAATCTACTTAAATACTGAATACATGGAATAAGGTGCAAACATAACAAAATCCGAAGGGTATTTAAATGTCCCACGTTAATAAAATGTATATTATAATTAAATCAAATAAGATTTCCTTCTGTACGTTTGGTTAACATGATAAACGATAAAAACTACAACTTAAATTACTTTATCACAAACACATTTGTGATAATCATTTAATTACTACATTACAGTTCATTACAGTACAGTAACCCACAGCATTTGTAAATGAGGAAGTTTAACTTTGACAGTTATTACAGTTGAATTATTCGAAGGATTTAATTTAAAAATAATATAAATAAGTTAGCACATTCTCAAAATTCAGAGATACATTCACTAGAGTATCTTCTAAAATATTCATAAAGAAAAATTTGTTCACTAAGTATCAGAAACCCAAGCGTACATTAATTTAAATACGAGACAATACTTTATTATCTCTAAAAATTATGGATATTCAGAGAATAAATGCACAGAATAAAACTAAAACAAAGTAAAATGTAATATCAGGACAAATATAAATGCGTTTGTTCGAGTGTGTGTACAACGAGGACAGACGAAATCCTGATACCTATGACCTGATCGCCGGCAGCACTGCCCGATATCAGCAAATAAAAAGCTTAGTTTTTTGTAGAACATTAAAGAAGATAAGATGATGAATCAAATTTTCCCATCAACATCTTTCCCGAACTACTCACAGAACAGTTTTAATTCCAAGTAGCTGTCAAGTCACCTCCTACGGTCACCGACGGTCCACTATGTTCACGCCTTCTAATTTTGCAAGAAGTTGCAGTATTTGAAAACTCTCACGTATCATCTTATATTTAAAGCATATACTTACGTAGAGCCCCTTTGCATATTGAAAAAGTTATATCTACTGAAAACATTTTATCTTGCGAATTTATCAGATAAATTTAAAATAATTTATAATTTCGGTTAATTCAGGAATTTATTCAAATTCACAATCTGTTAGTTGAATATAACGTCGTAAACTTTGCAGCATGCAAGAATTTATCAAACTTATAGGTTCTAAAATTAAATTCTAGGCGTACTCAAAGAAAAAAAAAAAAAAAAGGAAAAGGATTATGATAATTAACTAATCAAGGCATATTTCTGGCGGAGCAACAAGAATCAGTACAAGCACGAACGGAATATGAGCAAGTTCTCAGTTTCTAGAAGTTCATATGAGCAGTTCTCAGTAGGGAAAAGGTTACTTTGTGGAAGACTAAAGTTCTCCACAATGCATCCGACCATGGTAAGCAATGCCATAAGGCCAAGAATCTCATTCGCTCTTCCTGCTTCAATCATTCATACGACTAACTAATATAATGAAAATAATAATCACGTCCTTTTCTTTCCATGTAGCAGTCATTCGTTCTATCTCATTCTTAGTGATGCATCACTGACGTGAGGACGTGATTATTATTTTCATTATATTAGTTAGTCGTATGAATGATTGAAGTAGTAAATGGAAGCTTTTGTAATGGCTCAACTTAGAGACAAAACTTCTTGAAGACTCTATTTAATGATATTGAATCCTGTTTTATTTTGAATAGTCTAGAATGATCAATGCCATCAGACCATTTCGTTAATAGTGTGCTAAGTTCTGTGATACTTTGCTTGACATAGCGGAAGAAATTATGTTTAATAATAATATACCAGAGTCCATGATCATTGCTGGATCGAATGGAAGAACAAGCTTCTCAACTCTGTTGGAATTTGCCATGAATTATTACACTACAAAAGTCGCAGCTTTTAAAATCAGAAGGTAAATCACCTAAAAAAGAAGAATAATTGCACAGAGAACTCTGGTCATTATTTAGCCATGTCCGTTGGACTTGATGACGATGGGATTTGTTCTAGGACAAGCAGACGCTCCTTGGAGATTCCAGGACAAGCTCCAAAGAAAGGTGACATAGGCAACCGCGTTGCACTATTGGACGCTGATTTTCAGAAGGCGAACATTTACGCAGTGGCTAATCGCACCGACGGTGCGAATAGCTAACAGGCTATTCACACCGATTCACACCACCTACTTTCGCGCATGCGCAAAATCAGCCCCGGTACTAGCATTTTACGCAGATTTCCGTAAGGCGATTTCCGTGAGAGCGAATGTTGTTAATAGTTCACCAGCAAGAGAATAATTTGCAAGTAATAATTATCAGTTACAAAGACGAGATCAATCTATATACATGATAATGTTCAGGAAATTATTAGATAAAAAAGGGATTTAATGATGGTTCTAATTGCAAGCTAGGACGAGTAATTAGTCAAAAAATCTTTAGTGTATTGAAAAAAGGCTACGGAAATTACCTAAATTATTTTATTTAACAGAGGAATTTTTATACAAACTTAGACCCTATTTTTATAGCATAGGACTGTCAGAATTTATTGATCAATAAGAAAAGTTACTGAAAATAATAATATTCTTATATATTCATCACTTTTTCAGTATCCACACAGGTTTATAGGTTCAAATGCCATATTTCAAAATCAAAGTTATTTATCAAATAAAACCTTATGAAATCTGATAAATCATTTGTGTGTGCAAATTTTTAAATCTAAATCTCTTAGATTAAATTATTTCTGTCTTTTAAATTACATCCCATTATTTATTTCAATTTAATTGATTAATATGTTTGTACTAATATTTCAAAGTTCTTTGAAGCACTTTTTGTGTCCTGAAAATGCCAAGTATTTCCATAAAAAAAAATAAGCAGGCGTACAGAATAATTCATTTAATAGTTGATATAATCACTTTTAACTTATTTCATGTCTAAATTTTCCACACAGAAATCCTCTGTCTAATTTTTAGCATCTTTTATCGGACGAAATTTTTCAAAGAGAAATGAATTAAAGTCTTGATTGTGCAAAACACATCTTTAAAGCTAAATGTATTCTAAGAAGTACAAAAAATATTAAAAAGATTTTGTCCCCCCCCCCAAAATCAGACATTTAAACTATTCAAACCGTTCAGGAAAAGGATAAACATTGCGAACATAAAAATCTACCCTTTTTAATACATACATTAATAAAAGGAAATGTGTTCATTCTTTTTATAAGAAAAGGAACCCATTTTCCTTTCTAAACTTTTGAAAGTCACCAACGCTTAAAAAATTGATAAACTACGCCAAGGTAGAAACCCACCTTTAAAAAAAAAAAAAAAAAAAAAAAAAAGATTCACTGCAACAGTTCGCGTACGTAGAATCCGTTCCTCTCGATGGGGTTCAATTAACGGATCTGACAAGTCAATGCGCATGCGTGATTAATGTTGGTGCGAATAGCTAAGCGGCTAATCGCACCGGTGGTGCGAATAGCATCGGCCGAACATTTACAGGGTCCCAAAGTACTGATCATCTAGGACGCCGAAAATGCTAGAGTTGGCCTAAGTATTAGGGTCAGGTTTAAAATGGCATCTTCTTTCTATATAATAAATTTTGAGGCAATTTTATTAAAAAATATGTGCGAAATTACGAGGAGAATTAAAATTAACAGTTATTATAACATTAAATTAAAAAACTTAAAGACAATTTTTAAATATTTCTGATAAATTATAATTAAATAATAAGAATAATAAATTTATATATGCATAAAATTTGAACAAAATTCGCTTCACAGACAGACAGAAAATCCAATCTTAAAATAATAATAAAAAATTCTAAAAAATCTCAATGTTCACAAATTTTATATTACATCCAAAGGTAAATTTTTTTAACTTTTTGTGTGTTACCTTTATTTATTAAATATCATATTTTTTGCATCTAAAGGATAAAATTCAATTCAACAGCAATATCAGAAAAGAGTTTTAAAATGAGCATATCTTTAGAATTTCCAATACACAGTTTCGCGCGTTAGAGATTTAAATGTGTTTTTTTTTCGTAGTGTTGCCATTGCTCGCTTTGAAGTCGTTGAGTTTGGTAATTAAAAGCAAAGTATAAAATCGATAGTACAACAAATTTTAAATTCCAAATTAAGGCTTCCAAATGGCCAGATTCAGTGGAAGATTACGTTATTTAAAATTTGATGGCTCTAGGTACCGTTTTTTTATCACAATGCGAGAAAAATACATACATTTTGCAGACTTTTCGTTATTTAATTTCTTTAAATATAGCATAGGGCTGGAATATTTGGTGGCAACAATTTGAAAAGTGAACCGACATTTATAAGGAACGAACGCAAAATGCCAAAACGAAATTAATAGCCCTTCTGGGCTATTAAAGAACTTTTCAGGATCATCTTTGATGAAAAATTTAGACTGACAAATTTTTCTATGCTTCAGTACTTAGCTATACAGATTGATCCGTTTGACTATACTTGAGAACTCTTCGAATTGAATGGAAGGTTACTTAAAATCTTGCTACCTATAAATCTTGTTATTTCTGCGGCAATTCATTTCTGTCGGGCCCACCAGCGGCCGAGCGGTAAAGACGCTGAACACTGGTAGTTCGGTCCGAGGTTTGAATCTCGCGAACGGGCTGACTGCATGGCGTTTTCGTGGTTTTCCCCGTGTGTAACGTGTATATGAGCCAGTTCCCCTTAGAAAGTCCTCCACGAAGGCATCCCTTCCTTTAGGCAGATAGCCCTCATGTGTTTTGCCATAATTGAATAATCCAATCCAATCCAATCATTTCTTTCGTTTATTTCTGCTGGAATTCGACTTAAAGAAATGCATGTCTGCATAATGTTACTACTTAAAACCGGAGAAAGACATCTCAACTCAGTTGTTTGGTTAACTGCTCTTGTTATTTTTGCGAGTTCAGCGTGAGATCGGATTAGCTTTCTCTTTGCATTGCGTAGTATTTGAACGTTTTTAGTAGTTTAAAATATTTGATTATATTGCTGTACTATAAGTACTGATTATATTGCGTGATAATGGGAAGACTTGTACGAATATCTCCTAGGAAAATTCCAGCGTTCTGTTATATTTCTTTTGATAAAGATTAATTTTATTAACCTTTTATTGGACTTGTGAATTCAGTCTCTCATGAACCTGTACGCACACAAAACATTTTGGTATCAGGAGTGGGATTGAATGCCAGTGACAAGAACGATGGAAGGACAGTTGATGGCAGCCTTTACTGCCTTCAAAGCAGAAATGAAAGCAGGCAAAGGATCCGTTAAAGAGTACATTCAAGATGATAAATAAATAAATAAATAAAATCACAAAAACAATTTGATTGTTTATTATACTGCTACAAGCATTGTGAATGAAATTGTAGAAAGCGGTATTACTTTATGCCCTGTTAGCAAAGAAAATACGATCCCATTTGCTTTCATGTATGGACTGTAGCATATCATGTGCAATTTACACAATCATACACCAGTTATGTTCATAAAAGATACTCTGAAGAATTTGAGTAATGTGTTTTCAATTTTTAAATTTTCACAGATTGAAAATGAGGAATAATGTGCTCACAAACTGTTTCAGCCGCACTTCTCCTTCTAAAAGGGCATTATTATATTTTCTGAGGGTTTTGCAAGGACAAAATATAACTACTACTTAATGGACATATTACTACTTCACTATCTTATTTTATTAGACCAAAGGAGCTTTGTCCCCGAAGGACTATTGTTTTCGTTTTGCGATTTTGCGTTGAAAACTTTAAAAGACTATCACTTTTCAAATCGTTTCCGCCAAATACTATCGCCGTGTATTATATTTGAAGAAATTAAATAATGAGGAATCTGCATAAATGTATGTGTGTTTCTCGCATTGTGATAAAACAACGATACCTAGAGCCATCCA